TGACCTGAGAAGTTGGTTGGTACAATTTCAGTCTTTTTGAATTTGCTGAGGCTCTTTTTGTGGCCTAGTATGTGGTCTATTCTGGAAAATGTTCCATGTGCACTTGAGAAGAATGTGTATCCTGTTGCTTTTGGGTAGAGTGTTCTGTAGATGTTCATTAAGCCCATCTGTTCTAATGTGTTGTTCGGTGCCTCTCTCTCCTTAATTATTTTCTGTATGGTTAATCTTTCCTTTGGAGTGAGCAGTGTGTTGAAGTCTCCTAAAATGAATGTATTGCATTCTGTTTCCCCCTTTAATTCTGTTAGTATTTGTTTCACATATTTGGGTGCTCCTATGTTGGGTGCATAGATATTTATAATGGTTATATATCCTCTTGTTGGACTGACCCCTTTATTGTTACATAATGTCCTTATTTGTCTCTTAGTACTTTCTTTGTTTTGAGGTCTATTTTATGTGATACAAGTGCTGCAACTCCTGCTTTTTTCTCCCTATTATTTGCATGAAATATCTTTTTCCATTCCTTCTCTTGTAGTCTGTGTGTGTCTTTAGGTTTGAAGTGACTCTCTTATAGCAGCATATTGATGGTTCTTGCTTTTTTATCCATTCTGTAACTCTTTGTCCTTTGATTCGTGCCTTCAGTCCATTTACATTTAGGGTGATTTTTGATAGAGATGAACTTATTGCCATTGCAGGGTTTAAATTCATGGTTACCTATGATTCGAGGGCAGCTTCCTTACTGTCTTAAAGTCCAAGTTAACTTGCTTATTGTAGTATTACAAACACAATCTAAAGGTTCTTACCCACTCCCCACCTCTTTTTCTTCCTCCTCCTCTATATGTTAGGTATCCTATTCTGTATTCTTTGTGTATCCTTTCACTGACTTTTTGGGTATCTGATTTAATTTTGCCTTGCTTAGTAATTAATTGGTCTGCTTCCTTTACTGTGGTTTTATTTTTTCTGGTGATAGCTATTTAGCCTTAGGAGCACTTCCATCTAGAGCAGTCCCTTTAAAATACACTGTAGAGATGATGGTTTGTGGAGGTAAATCTCCTCAACTTTTCCTTATCTGGAAACTTTAAATCCCTCCTTCAAATTTAAATGATAATGTTGCTGGGTAGAGTATTCTTAGTTGGAGGCCCTCCTGTTTCATTATATTAAATATATTGTGCCGTTCCCTTCTGGTCTGTTAGGTTTCTGCTGAGAAGTCTGATGATAGCCTGATGGCTTTTCCTTTGTTTGTGATCTTTTTTTGTCTCTCTGGCTGCTTTTAATACTCTATCCTTGTCCTTGATCCTTATCATTTTAATTTTTATATGTCTTGGTGTTGTCTTCTTTGGGTCCCTTTTTTTGGGTGATTTGTGCACTTCCATTGCTGAGAGACTATCTTCTTCCCCACACTGGGGAAATTTTCAGCAATTATTCCCTCAAAGACACTTTCTATCCCCTTTTCCCTCTCTTCTTCTGGACCCCTATCATGCAAATATTGTTGCATTTTGATTGGTCACACAGTTCTCTTAATATTCTTTCATTCCTAGAGGTCCTTTTTTCTCTCTCTCTGCATTAGCTTTTTTGTATTCCTGTTCTCTAATTTCTATTTCTATTCCATTGTCCATCTCCTCTACCTCTTCTAATCTGATTTTAAATTCTTCCTTGTATCTTTCATTTCAGCCACTTTATTTTTCAGAGTCTCTATCTCTATCGTAAATTCATTCATGGGATGTTGAATATTTTTTTGTAGCTGTTTGTGATTTTTATTTTGAAATCTTTATCAAGAAGATTGGTAATGTCAGTTTCACTGAGCCCTCTTTCTGGTGTTTAAGGGATTTTGGCTTGAGCAATGTTCTTTTGACATTTCATTGCTACTTGAGACTATGGAATGGAAACTTTGTGTAGGCAGTACCCTCTAGTGCCATGAATCTCTACTCTCCAGAACTGCCTGGCTCCTGGAGCAATGGCAGGGGTCGCAGGAGAGCAGTGCCTGCCGGGGGGAAAGAGCTCTTCCCTGTTTCCCCACTGCAGTGCCTGCCTCCACTGCAGGGCCAGTGGTTCAAGCACGCAGGGAGCAGCATCTATATTAAGCCCCTGTAGCTGCCATAGGCGGGGCTGCCCTCTGGCTGGCCTGGAGCAATGGCGGGGGTTGCCTGGAGGACAGAGATCTTTTCTGTTTCCTGCAGCAGTGCCTGCCTCCACTCCCTGGGCCAGTGGGCTGAACACACACAACGAGCAGCCTCTGCGTTAAGCCACTGTAGGTGTCATAGGTGAAGCTGCCCTCTGGTTGGCCTGGATCGATGATGAGGGTTGCAAGCAAGTGGCTCCAGTGCTTGCCAGGAGGAAACAGCTCCTTCCTGCTTTGTGTTTGCATTGCCTGTCTCCACTGCCAGCACCAGTGAGCTGAGCACACAGGGAGCAGCCTCTGCATTACATCCCTGTAGCTGCCGTAGGCCAGGCTGTGCTCCAGCTGGCCTGGAGCAATGGTGGGGGTAGCAAGCAAGTGACACCAGTGCCTTCCAGCTCTTTCCTGCTTCCTGGCCTCATTGCCATCCTCCACTGCTGGCGCCAGTGAGCTGAACACACAGTGAGCAGATTCTGCATTATGCCTCTGTAGCTGCTGTAGGCAGGGCTGCCCTCCAGCTGGCTCAGCACAATGGTAGAGGCAGCTGGTTTGTAAACTAGTGCCTGCTGGGAGGAAGGAGCAGCAGGATGCATATCACAGTGAGGGCCTTGGGGCTGTATTGCCATCCAGGGGGATGGAGCACCTGAAACTCCTGAAAGTTTCCAACCTGCTGGGCTGAATGCCGGGATGATTTTGTCCACCTGTCCCTTCTCTTGAGCAGCAAGCTCTGTGTAATCCTTGGCCCTTTAGCACCCCTCTCATTGTTGAGAAGTCTCTCAAAGCCCCCACCTTTTTTTTTTGTCCCAGAGTGACTGGTTTGAGTTCCTGTTCTCCACAAGTGGCTGGAATCATAGTCTTTCCAAGTAGTCTGCTTGTCCCTGCTTTTCATCCCCTCTAATCTCCAGACCACCATGCAATGTGGGTTCTTTTTTTGGGGTAGATCTCCAGGGCTGGGTATTTAGCAGTCCTGGGCTTCTACTCCCTCCCTGCTCTGTTTCTCTTCCTCTTTCCTGTGAGCTGGGGTGTGGGGATGGCTTGGGTCCCACTGGATTGCAGTTTTGCTACTTTACCCTTTTCCATGAGATCTTCAATTTTCCCCAGATGTAATCCATCTTTTGCAGTTTCCTTCTGGTCACTCTTTCAGGATTAGTTGTATATGCTGTGTTTTCATGTTATATGTAGTTTTGGGAGGATATTTCAACCTCTTCTAAATGCCATCATCTTTCCTCCCATTGCACTGATAACTTCTTAAAAAATCTATTAGTCTCTTAAATCATGTAGAAAATAAGAAGTACAGTACAAACCATTGTCATAATAGTACTAGCTTTTATAATTACCCATGTATTTATCTTTACTGAGATCTTTGTTTCTCCATACAACTTGAAGTTACTGTCTAGTGTCCTTTCTTTCCCATTGTAGAACTCCCTTGGCATTTTTGACAGGGATATCTACTGGTCACAGACTCCTTCAGCTTTTATTTACCTGGGAATATCTTAATTTCTCCTTCACTTTTGAAGGGCAGTTTTGCTGGGTGTAGGATTTTTGGTAGACAGTTTTTTTTTTCTTTTGAATATGTCAGTCCACTGGCTTCTGGCTTCCAATGTTTGATGAGAAATCTGCTTGTAATCTTACTGAGAATCATTTGTATGTGATAATTCACTTATTTCTAACTGCTTTCTCTTTGCCTTTTGAAAGTTTGATTATAATGGGTCTTTGTATGGGTCTCTTTTGAGTTTATCTTATTTGGTTTTAGCTGAGATTCTTCGATATTTATATACATGTCTTTTATCAAATTTAGAATGTTTTCAATTATTGTTGCTTCATTTATTCATTATGTCCCTTTTTCTTTATTATCTCTTTCTTGGACTCCCATGATGCACATATTGGTGTGCTTGCTGGTATCCAACAGGTTCCTTAAGCTCTGTCCACTTCAATTCTTTTTATTTCTGTTCTTCTAATTTTGATGTTACTTGATTATTTTCACCTAATTGTTTTAATTTCAGTGTTTTCATTGCAGAATTCCTTGGCTGTAATATTTTCTAGTTAATCTTATGCTGCCTTATTTTTATATGTATGATGTATGTCATATATGTAATTTTTATACTTGTGTGTATATATCATATGTATACATATACACATGAAGTTTGACAGTTTAATAACTCCAATTGGTGGATTTGTAGGGAGTTTCATTGTATATTTCTAATGAAAGTATAAGTTTTAATTCATTTTGAAGAGAAATGTCTAATGTGCATATCCTACAATCAGAAAATCTACTCTAGGTGGTCTTTTCTAAAGAAACTTTATTACATATACATAAAGAGACATGTACAATGTTTGTAGCATTGTCATAATGGTGAAAATATAGAATATCTAGTTGTTATTGAGTAGAAGAGTAGACAAACTAATTTGTTGTTATCGTGAAATACTATACTGTCATAAAATTTAATGAATAAATCCACATATGAATATAAGGATAAATACCCATGGATAAATATATAAAACAATATTGAGTAAAAAAACCAAGCTGCTAAAACTTGCAGAAGTGTTAATACCTGTTTGTAAATTTTTAAAACAGAAAAATGCATTACACATTATTCATGGATCTACTTCTGTAGTAAAAGCACAAAAAACAGGTATGAGAATGAATCACTCCAGAGAATGATACTGATCAATTTCAGCATAGTATTAATGAGGGATGAAAGGGATAACATGTCAGTGTGTGATTTCATTGCTTTCTAAAAGATGGTAAACTGAAGGAAATTTGGCAAAATGCAAAAATCCATATAATTTTAGTAGTAATTTAACATGTATTATATTTTTTCCTAAATATTTGAAATGTTATAAAAAATTTTATCTGAAAATTTATAAATCCTGTTTTTATATTTAGCTTGAGTCACAACTAGAGAAAAAAGACCAACAATTTAAAGAACAAGAAAAGACAATGTCCATCTTGCAGCAAGATATTATATGTAAACAACATCATCTTGAATCATTAGACAGACTCTTGATGGAAAGCAAAGGGGTAAAATCTTTATAAAGTGCTGTTTAAAAGCTAATCATTTGTATTTCTTTAACCTTTAATTCTAGTCAAATCAGCTGTTTTTAACAGCTTGTTACTAATGCTAAAATAATTATACACATACTTATGTTTTTGGTACCAATTTGTATGTTTTCAGGAAATGGAAAAGGAAAATATGAAGAAAGATGAAGCTTTGAAAGCATTACAGAACCAAGTATCTGAAGAAACAATCAAGGCTAGTATGCTAATACTGAGTAAAATTTTATTTCTTTTAAAAAAAAAATTTTCTTAGTGGAGATATTCCTGTGGCTTTCTCAGTTTTCTTTATAGATTATTTACATAAAAATCAGTCAAGAGGTAAGGACTTTCACCTGAATCCATGAACTTAATTTCTGTAACTGTTTTCTTCAATGTGAACTACAATCTTAATTATTTGACAGTTCATAATCTAGTTTGTAGATTATCTAACCTCTTTTTTCTTTTGCCTTAAGATTTCTTTAAAAAAAATTTTTAACTGTAGCTACTTATTAACATTACCAGTAAAGAATTAACAGAGGAAGTGAAGGTAGATGAAATTACAAGCAGTCCACTATTGCTTCTTTTTTCCAGTTGTTCTATAAGATTAATTAGGAGGTAAATCCAGATTTTCCAGATCAAATGCATATTTGTGGATGGTATATCTTCATGGCTTTAAAGCATGGGCTTATTTATTGTAACCTTGGCAGTTTATTTAAGCTCTCTGAACTTTAATTTATTTATTTGTAAAACAAGGATAGCAGTACCCTAGAAAGGGTCGGTATGAGGATTAAATGAAATGAGTTATGTACATTGCTCAGCACATACTAAGTCAAAGTTTAATAAGTAATTACTGTATATTTAATATTTTCTCTTTTGCATTTTTAGTGTTAGAAATAAGTTAAAAAATGCTGCTACCTTTATTCTGTCATATGTGCTGAATTATAAGGGATACTTTAAAAATTCAATGTTATTTAGCCTTGCATAGTAGGGTGTTAGTAAAGTTAAGGGGTAGTTGGAAGTTATATGTGGATTTTCAACTGTGCAGGAGTCAGTAACTCTGATACCCTCATTGCTCAAGGTCAACTGTACTGTTTTTTTATCCTTTTTTCAATTGAAGTGTAGTTGATATTCAATATTATACTGGTGTTTTTAATACATTTTGTGACCAAGTACACCCATATAAACAAAAATTATTATCTGTTAACTTTCCTATATTATTCTCCAAAACTTTTAAACTTTAATGCTTTGTCAATTAATTTCCTCATGTAAAAATAGCCTCTATGATCATTAACATTAAAAAAAATCATTACAAAGGTTGTAGGCATGAAACAATTTTATTAGATAATATCCATATTTCATGGTATAGAGTGATTCAAGATAGAGGCATGAGAGGCAAGACAGGGAACTCCTCCCCAAAACCACACGTTATGAAAATACAGTTAATACAACTAATCCTAAAAGAGCAACAGGAAAGAAGGCTGCACCAGACTGCATACACCTACAGAACAGAGCAGACCTTACAAAACAGGGTAATGTATGAAAGTCTTGATCCAGCAGGACCCAAGCCCTTTCCCCACCCCAGTTCACCAGCAGGAGGAAGAGAAATGGAGCGGGGAGGGGGTGGAAACCTAGGACTGCTGAACACCAAGCCCTAGAGATCTGTTATGGGAGCATAAACCTACATTGCATGGTGCTCTGGAAATTAGTGGGGTCAAAAAGCTAAGACAGGTGGAATACTTGGAGAGACTGAGATTCCAGCCAACTGTGGAGGACACGGATCCACATCCAGCTGCTCTGGGAAAAATAAAATGTGGGCTGTCTGAGAAACTCCCTAGCAGCAAGAGGGTTGCTGAAGGGTTAGAATTTGCATGGAGCTTGCTGCACGGGAGAAGGGATAGGTGGACAAAGTTGTCTGGGCATGCTCTGCCCAGCAGGTTGGAAACTTTCAGGAACTTCACTGCTCCATCCCCCTGGCTGGATGCTCAGCCCTGAGGCCCCTCACTGTGGTACGCACCTTGCTGCACCTTCCTCCTGGACTGCTGGCACCACCTCCCAAACCAGTAGTCCCAGCCCTGGCATCAGGCCAGCCAGAGGGAGGCCCTGCCTACTGCAGCTACAGAGGCAAAGCACAGAGGCTTACACTTGTGGACTGGCCCACTGGTTCCAACAGTGGAGAAAGATGCTGCAGCCAGGAAGTAGGAAACGGCTCTTTCCTTCCCCCAGACATGAGCGCTGCTCCCCTGTGACCCCCAACATCACTCCATGGGCTGAGCAGCTCCAGAGAAGAGAGCTTCTGGGCACTATAGGGTGCCACATACAAATATGAAACGTCAAAGGAACCTGGTTCAAACAAAACCTCTCAAACACCAGAAAAAGGGCCAAATGAAACTGAACTCACCAATCTTCCTGAAAGAGAGTTCAAAATAAAAATCATAAACATGCTTATGGAGGTACAGAAAAATACTCAAGAATGCAGGGATGAATTTAGGATAGAGATTCAATAATTAAGAAATTCCATATCTGAAATGAATCATACAATGGAGGGATTTAAAAGCAGATTAGATGTGTAGAGGAGATGGCAAATGGAATACAAATTAGAGAAGAGGAATACAAAGAAGCTGAGGCACAGAGAGAAAAAAGGATCTTTAGGAATGTTCACTGTGTGAACAATCCAAACATAGCAATATTTGCATTATAGAGGTACCAGAAGAAGAAGAGAGAGAAAAGGGGATAAAAAGTATCTTTGAAGAGGTAATTACTGAGAACTTCCCCAATATAGGGAAGGAGATAGACTCTTAGGCCATGGATGTGCACAGATCTCCCAACACAAGGGACCAAAAGAAGACAACACCGAGATGTATAATTAAAATGGCAAAGATAAATGATAAGGAAAGACTTTTTAAAGCAGCTAGAGAGAGAGAAAAAAGTACACATACAAAGGAAAACCCACCAGGCTATCATCAGATTTCTCAACAGAAACTTTACAGGCCAGAGGAGAGTGGCATGATATATTTAATGCAATGAAACAGAAGGGCCTCGAACCAAGAATACTCTACCCAGCAAGGTTATTTAAATTTGAAGGAGGGATTAAACAATTTCAGATAATAAGCAGAAGCTAAGAGAATTTACCTCCCACAAACCACCTCTATAGTGCATTTTGGAGGTACTCCTATAGATGGAAGTATTCCTAAGGCTAAACAGCTGTCACCAGGGAGAGTAAAACCACAGTAAAGAAAGTAGAACAATTAATTATTAAACAGATGCAAAATCAAATCAACTACCACCAGAGTCAATCAAGGGTTAGACAAAGAGTACAGAATATATAAAGAATGGAAGAGGAAGAAAAAGGAGGTTAAAAAAAAGAACCTTCGGGTTGTGTTTGTAATAGCATACTAAGTTAGTTAAATTAGTCTGTTCGATAATGGAATTACCCTTGACCCCACAAATCTAAAACCTACAATGCCTATGAGTACATACCTATCAATAATCCCCCTAAATGTAAATGGTATGAATGCACCAATGAAAAGACATAGAGTCACTGAATGGATTAAAAAACAAGACCCATCTATATGCTGCCTGCAAGAGACTCACTTCAAACCCGAAGACATACACAGACTGAAAGTAAAGGGATGGAAAAAGATTTCATGCAACTAATAGGGAGAAAAAAGCAGGAGTTGCAGTACTTGTATCAGACAAAATAGACTTCAAAGCAAAGGAAGTCACAAGAGACAAAGAAGGACATTTCATAATAATAAAGGGGTCAGTCCAACAAGAGGATGTAACTATTATAAATATCTATGCACTGAACACAAGATCATCTACATATGTGAAACTAATACTAACAGAATTAAAGGGGGAAATAGAATGCAATACATTCATTTTAGGGGACTTCAAGACACCACTCACTCCAAAGGACAGATCAACCAGACAGAAAATAAGTAAGGAGATAGAGACACTGAACAACATATTAGAACAGATGGACCTAATGGACATCTACAGAACACTCCATCCAAAAGCAACATGATACACATTCTTCTCAAGTGCACATGGAACATTTTCAAAAATAGATCAAATACTAGGCCACAGAAAGAGCCTCAGTAAATTCAAAAAGCTGGAAATTGTACCAACCAGCTTCTCAGACCACAAAGGTATGAAACAAGAAATAAATTACACAAAATGAAAAGGCCCACAAACACATGGAAGCTTAACAACATGCTTCTAAATAATCAATGGATCAATGACCAAATAAAAACAGAGATCAAGCAATACATGGAGACAAATGACAACAATAATTCAACACCGCAAGATCTGTGGGACACAATGAGGCCGTGCTAAGAGTGAAGTATATTGCAATACAGGCCTACCTCAGGAAAGAAGAACAATCCCGCATGCAGTCTAAAGTCATAATTAATGAAACTAGAAAAAGGAGAACTAATGAGGCCGAAAGTCAGTAGAAGGAGGGGCATAATAAATACTAGAGCATAAATTTAAAAAATCGCAAAGAGTGAAACAATAGAAAGAATCAATGAAAGCAGGATCTGGTTCTTTGAGAAAATAAACAAAATAGATAAACCCCTAGTCAAAGCTATGAAGAAAAAAGAGAGTCTACACACAAACAAAATCAAGAATAAGAAAGGAAAAATCGCTATGGACACCACAGAAATACAAAGAATTATGAGAGAATACTATGCAAAATTACATGCCAACAAACTGGATAATCTAGAAAAAATGGACAACTTTCTAGAAAAATACAGCCTTCCAAGGCTGACACAGAAAGAAACAGAAAATCTAAACAGACCAATTACCAGCAATGAAATTGAATTGGTAATCAAAAAAACTATCTAAGAACAAAATCCCTAGCCCAGATGATTTCACTGCTGAATAATAGCAAAGATTTAGTGGAGACCTAATACCCATCCTCCTTAAAGTTTTCCAAAAAGTAGAAGAGGAGGGGATACTCCCAAACTCATTCTGTGAGGCCAGAATCACTCAAATATGAAAACCAGGCAAATACACCACAAAAAAAGAAAATTACAAACCAATATTCCTGATGAATATAGATGCAAAAATCCTCAACAAACTATTAGCGAACCAAATTGAAAAATACATCAGAAAGATCATCCATTGTGATCAAGTAGGATTTATTCCAGGGATGCAAGGATGGTATATTTGAAAATCCATCAATATCATCCACCACATCAACAAAAAGAGGGACAA